TGTTTTGCCCTGGGCAGCAATGGAGAGCCAGAAATTCGGTTTTAGCATTGCGCAGGTGTTAACGTAAAGAGATAGGTTCCGGAACACTAGTGACTCGTCGAACTATGGTGCAAGTCATTGGCAGTTGTGCGACAGCACGAATGAAATGCGTCTTGCAGATAGTGGAGTCTCTTTGCTTTTGCTTACCAGCTGCTTGGTGTTTCCTGCTTAGGATGGTAAGTTTACCGTTTATGGTCTCATTTTTGTTTCTCATATTGGTGCACAGTTTAAAATCACTGGGTGATTGAGAACTAAGACTCCGGGTTCAACAGTTCAGTTTAGTAGTGGTTAAATTAGTTTTATGCAGTAAAGACAGAGGTATGAATTTCTTATGAGTAATGGTTAAACCCACACTTAGAACTGAATAGGTGAAATCTGCACATTCGTGAAGCGGTTGTTTGACTCGCTGGCTTAAGTGTGTCTGTTGCCATGGATTATTTACATATCGTAAGCGGGGTGGTTAAAACTTAATCTCTCTTTCGTTGAAGGTTCTTGCCAATGTATCATATGCCGTCGATAATTTTCTGTTTGTGATTTACTGTCAGCAGCCACCAAAGCTCAGTTTATGCTATTGGCATAAATACCGAAACCTTCAAACGGTCTTTCTGCGCTACCTCGTCGACTCACAGAAAGATTGAAACAGAGCTAGGAAATCGTCCCGCTGAGTACTTCCATTGCGTTTAAAATTGGTCCCGCCTTGTTTTGAGCTGTTTCTTTGTGCCAGGTTCATGGTATTGCGGAATTTTTTTACAAATTCAAAAATTTCTGAACTTTTCCTGGCCCTGGTTTTCTGAGGTTATAAACTGGTTTTAAATATGAGAATAAATGACAAGACGTTTCCAGCGACGTTTCTTTGCCCCGTCCATCCTCTGTTCAGGAAGGTACAATTCACGGTTATTTATATTCTTACTGCAATGATTGGAGACATGGGCGCTGGTGTCAGGACTTGCATAAACTGTACAAGGGCGTTGGCATAAAACAGTTTTTATTGGAATCGAACAATTAAACAAATATCGCTCTTGGAATTGAGCGATCGGTAGTGTTGATGCTGCCTGATTACGGTACACATTATACTGTAACGTTTATTTGATTTATCGCTTAGTTCTCTCTGATTGTCTACGAGAGGGGAGGAGAGTTTGTAACCATTATGGAATCGTATGCCCTTGCACTTTCACGGTGTGGGCCATTTGTGGCATCCTTAATTTCAAGTTTTCAACACGGCGTTGATGCCGTTTCCATGCCATCAATCAGAAGTGAATTATTTTAAACGCAGAGTCGACTGCAGCTGTGTAGCAGAGAGTGTATAGTCTTCTGTGTTCTTCCCAGTGAGAGGTGGTCATTTATCAGCCTGGAAAAACAGAAACTTGAGTCTCCTGAAAGTAGGAAAAGAAAAAGGAAAGTTACCGTTGCAGCGTCGGTCTTCCTTCACTTTCATGATTCAGCCATTCTTGCGTTCTTCTTTTCATGAAGTTGATGGTGCTTTGCTTAACTTCATTTCTATGCCATCAGCCAGGAATACTTTAAGGCAGAGTCTTCAGCTACGTGGTAAGCATAGCGTCTAGTCTCCTGTTTCCCTCCCTCAGACTGACACTCATTTATCAACCTCAGGTAGAAGAATGGTCAGTTACCCGGGCCAGATCTTAAACTCTGAACCTGTCGGTTCTGGATTCGACGCTCTACCGACTGAGCCAGCAAGTCTGGTCTGAAGCGATGTATGTTAAATTCATTGCTCAGGTGAATTCGTGAATAAGACAATGACTGTCCTCGAACAGAATCGAACCCAGCACCTCCGGAATTTGAAGCAGACCTCGTAGACACTGCGCCAATACTCCACCTGACCATGGTTCGAACCTGAGATCTCTCGGTTCTGAGTTCTTAACTACGATCTTATGATGTGGTGTTATTATTTTGTAGTAAATTTCTACCATATTGAATTACATTCCCTGGCAAAACATTCGACTTCTGTTTGTAAACGTAATTAAATTTCTTCTACAGCGAAACGCATTGGTACTGAAAATGCCAAAATTTTTGCGGTTTGGTGCCTTCAGTCATGAACGCCAGAGCACCTGTAATTTCATTACCAGGCCCAGAATCGGAAATATTATAACGTATTTATTAACTTAGTCTAATTAGGAGTTTAAATGATTAGAAAGTGGTAATGAAGAAGCAATTCAAATGTAGTTCGATACAGTCTGTCCTAAAGTCTGTCTACATAAATACCTTTAGGAGTAGTTGTCATGCTTGCTGGTTGGTTGACAGAAAGAGTTGGATCGTAAACGTAAGCTGCAGAAACGAAGTTACTTCAAGTTTTGTTACGAGCATATAATCAGAATTATGAGTGGGAGACTTGCAAAATGGACTCTTTGGTCAGTGCCACATATTAAGTAGCAAAGTATCAGACTTGGGGTCAAACAGAACGTATTGAATATCACTTGGTTTTTTAGCGCCTGAAATCTAAGGCGTGAAACTTTCACGATTGGCGGTTTCCCGAGACCGTTGCAATACGGTTTTGAAACTTTTGCCCCTGCAATCTGAAAGGAATAGTGATCTGGACTGTAAAAACGAATGACCAAAGAGGCACTAGTTGACTGCTCAGGTGATATAAAGATAATGGTGCAGAACTAAATTGAAAGTAAATAAGATGTTTATCAGAATTGTAACCAAATGTTTCGATGAAATGGTGCTTCGCGTAACGCCAGGTCGAGAAGGGACATCGTCGACCAGGCATGCAAAATATTGATGAGGATCGATGTCATTTGTAGGGCAAAAAGGCAGTTGGTTCAGGATGAAGAAAATCTAAAGATTATGGAGAAAACCTCGGCCGATGGTATGAGTGCAGATTAATCAGACAAAGAAGCGGTGCTTGCAGCGCCTTGCTGCATCTTCGAGGGCAGTGTATTTTGTGGCGTGGTGACAATACCTAAGAGGTCGGGCTCGAATCTTCTCAAGGTACAAACTTTGTCATTACCAAGAAATCAGCCTCACGTTACTTCAGTGCAACCAGCCGAGAAATGGATATTAAGTTCTATAACTTTCGAATAATAGGGATGGCTTAGTTGTTTTCTGGTC